TAAGAAAGAGCTGAGAAATAGGACAGATAAGGAAATGAAGTTATTTCCCCAGGAGAGTACTTTTCTGAAAGGATAACATCCGAACATGAGCAGAGAATCCTAACACTGGAGGGGACTTCAGAGATCACCTGCCTACTCTGACCTTAGTTTTACATCTGAGGACAAGTCCTAGAGATGCCAATGCAAATGCTACTGGCATCAGTGGAGAATGGAGGTGTCCTAGAAAGTGAAGCTTCAACATATAGAAGTCAAATCATTTCAAGTACCAAACTTTTAACCAATCTTATGAAAATTTCTGTCAAATGTCTCATTAACTTTCTTTTTTTGAGACAGAGCCTCAAGCTGTTGCCCTAGGTAGAGTGCTGTGGCATCACAGCTCATAGCAACCTCCAACTCCTGGGCTTAAGCGATTCTCCTGCCTCAGCCTCACAAGTAACTGGGACTACAGGCACCTGCCACAACACCTGGCTATTTTTTGGTTGCAGCTGTCATTGTTGTTTGGCGGGCCTGGGCTGGAATCGAACCCGCCAGCTCAGGTGTATGTGGCTGGCGCCTTAGCCACTTGAGCCACAGGCACCAAGCCTGTCTTATTAACTTTTAATGATGGGTTTTTAAATCATATTTTTTCTTAACAATTTTTGTTCTTTGAGAAACATCAAATACTCTACTGTTTTGTTGTTGGTGGTGATGGTGGTGGTTTTGAGGGGTTTTTTGAGATAGAGTCTTGCTATGTTCTGTGATTTGAGACTTTGGGATAATATATTGAGTTGCTATCTTGGAGAAATCCCTGGTATATTAACCTATTGAGTGCTGTATATACTCTTTCTCATGAAGAGAGAGTGAATAACAATAATAATATTAAAGGTCCATAATCCCTCATTTGAAACCCCTGGGACCAGACAAGTTTGTAGTCTTAGATGATTTCATATTTTAGAGAGGCACCGCAGATCATGTCGCACATACTACAGCTCCCCTCTCCCCCAAGGCACTCCTGCAACATAGTGTCATTTCCTCAGCAAAACACCTGAGTGTTTACACTAAATAGGACATAGAGACTATATATGTATAGTCTGGGCACAGTGGTTCATGACTGTAATCCTAACACTCTGGAAGGCCAAGACTGGAGGACTGCTTGAGCTCAGGAGTTTGAGACCAGCCTGAGCAAGAGCGAGACCCTATCTCTAAAAATAGCTGGATGTTGGGTGGGCCCCTATAGTCCTAGCTACTTGAGAGGCTGAGGCAAGAGGATCATTTGAGCCCAAGAGTTTGAGGTTGCTGTGAGCTATGATGACATCATGGCATTCTACTCCAGGGCAACAGAGTGAGATTGTCACACAAAGAATAAAAGGCTATACATGTATAAATAGCCCAATGTAAGGCAGGTCAAGTTTTGTTGCCAGATAAATTTCAGTGTTATAAAAAAACCTTAGTTTTAATGGGTTTTTAAATTTTAGAATTGGGATAAGAAGTCAAGAACCCATAGGTAACACTTGCTGAAGATACGCTACTTACCAGACATGACACGGAATGCCTTATGGGTTATCACCTTAAATCCTCACAAGAGTTTTAGAAGGTAGTAACTTCTATTATTCCCATTTTATAAGTGGGAGAAATTAATGCCGCAAAGATTTAGGTAAATTGCCCATGGTCACATAGCTAATTGCAGGGGTCCTCAAACTTTTTAAACAGGGGGCCAGTTCACTGTCCCTCAGACTGTTGGAGGGCCATACTGCAGGCCCTGGGACAAGTCACCTGCTAAGCAGGGTAGGCAGGGGCAGCAAAAACACCCGGCGGGCCAGATAAATGTCCTCGGCGGGCTGCATGTGGCCCACGGGCCGTAGTTTGAGGATGCCTGAAATAGTGGAACTAGGCTATGAACCAAGGGTAATAGAGTTTACGAAGAGTTTGTGTATGTCTGGCATCATCCTAACTTTACATGTTCTTACTCAGGTGATTTCCATGCAGCCTTTTGAGATACTCGCCATTACTATCCCCATTCAGGAGCTAAATGGCCACAGGGAGATTTTATTATGTGCCCAAGGTTACATAGTTAGTATGGTAGTTAGTATGATTCCAGAACATGTGTGCTCAGTTCAGCACTGTATCATGTAGCATGATTTCTTAACAATAAAACAATTGGCTGTGAGATTCAGCAAAGTTAATGACTATATTAAGGGCTAGTGAAGCTTTCCCCACTGATTTCCTTGGGTGTTCATTTTGATGGTGCTGTCCTTTTGCTTGGCTCTGTTCAGTGCAGATTTTGTCATTTCTTTACCTAAAATCATTTACTGTATATGCCTTCACATCTGCTTGCAACTACTCCCCTGTCTCTTTGCCCTGCCTTATTTATTAAGTGTGACTGAGAACATGTGACTCGTCACTTCTGTAATGTGTACAGGCATGTTTGAGAGGTCTGACTTTCAAGCTCCACCCCAGTTAACCAAGGTCTTGCCACGCCATCCATGGCTTTTCACCTCAAATAGAATCCCAGGCACAACCAACATTAAAAACATCATCTTTGATGTTAAAAGAGATATGAATGCCAGTTTTCTTGTGGAATTATTCCAGAAAACCATTTCATTGAATAACTCTTGGGGTGTCTGTGTTGAGCCCCCTTGAATTACACTAGCAATTAGAAGGTAGGAAGGTTCTCCTCTGCTTCCCTGAGCAAAATGCTGCAGTTTTATAGCAGAGCTTTGCTCTCTTCAGGGAAGCATGGTTTCAAAGATGACCTGACTCTGAAAATAGCAACCCTGAGTGGAATTCATCATGAATTAGCAAAAGTTTCATTTTTAGGTTGTAGATTATTGTCCCATCTGGGAATAGTCCCTTTTCCTTGTTATTTAAAAAATACAGATTTACCAGCACTATGATGGCCCAGTCCAGTGAAAATACCCCAGAGTTCTTCTGTAACTGGCTATTTTTGATTAATTAATCCTAACCTTACATATTCAAGAGAAACATGCAGTCTGTTTGTTCATAAAATGATTTTGCTCCTGCAGAAAACACCAGTATTCTTGGCAAAGAGTGGCACTCTAAGCTTTTTACTTTCCCTGATGAAGGGTTATTTTTCGGGTAGGCTGTCATTGTTATGCTGTTCTGGAACATATCAGGGTATACTACTCTCTGAATCATCGCTGAGTTTGCAATTGCAGTGGCCAGAGCGTCATCACCAAAGCAGCACCTGCATTTAGTAACACCCTGTCAGGCCGCTGTGGGAAGAACTCAGCTTGCCCTCCTATCACATGCCCTCCATACACACTCAGGAGTGTCCTAATGTGGACGTGACCCCAAGAGGGATAAGTACCTTTCCTTTGGGACTACTAAGGTAGCATAATGCTGCTATACTTTTTCTGGAGACTCAGGGAAGCCTTATATGGCTCTGGGGAGTGAAGTAATTTGCACCCTGCCCCTCACCCCACCCTGTACCTACAAAACTGTCCTTTGTCCTTGCCTGTCCTCCTTGCACATCTCGTGCACTGTGGCTAAACTCCAGTGCTGCCACCACTGCAGTGTTCCCACTGCACTTTGTTGTCCTTTTCTTTCTTTCTTTCCTTCCTTCCTTCCTTCTTTCTTTCTTTTTCTTTTATTTTCTTTCTTTTCTTTCTTCTTTCTTTCTTGCTGTTGCCCTGGTTAGAGTGCTGTGGCGTCGCAGTTCACAGCACCCTCAAACTCTTGGGCTTCAGCAGTTCTCTTGCCTCAACCTCCTAAGCGTTGTCCTTCTCTAAGTTTCTTTTCCTCCTTGCTCTAGTTCATTCCCCCGTCACTTTCCCAGGCTGAGTGTTAAGCAGGCACAGCACCCTGGAAGTAACATTTGGTTCTACTCAGATATTTTCTCTGTCCTTGTAAACTCGAGAGCTACTGATCTGCATCAGGAGATTGTGTTTTTTTCCTTTTTTTTTTGCCGCCAGAGACAATGCCATTCTGGTTGCCTGAGGTAGTCTGAACTCCATATAAGTGAGGCCTGGCTGATAACTGCTTGTATTTCCCTTCTTTCATACTATACTAGTACAGTGGGGTACTGCTAGCTTGATTTTGAAGCACTATGGAGGGTTCACTGTAAATCACAGTTTTATAGCAAGATATCCGGATATTCCACATTCATTATTGTTTAATACCAGCCACTCTGAATAACGTGATTTTGGGGATCAACATATTCCTAAAATAGCTCATTGTGTGGCAGACTGCTCAAAGCCAAGAGAAATTTGCCAGTTTTCTTTGCATAAGGTTTTCTTTTCTAAAATGAAAGATTTACTACACCTGAAAAATAAAATGCTGTAGTATGTAAGTATAACTAAGCGTGTAAATTAGCAGTTTAATTAGTTACAGCCTCTCTCCTGGGTGAACTTGAATTGTAAAGCAACTTAAACATACACACAGAAATTCATCCAGAGGGTGAGTGTAACTTGTTCCCCAATAAAGTACAGACTAGAATCCTGAAATACAAAGTGTGAGAGTATTTTTAAAAGTAAAAGGAGATGATTGAATATTTATGAATTCTTCACAAAATTTCTCATTTCTAGAGAAAATCATTTAGCTTCTGTATATAAAATATAGCAAGATATACTTTTTCTTCCTTGGAAAAAGAGTTCTTTCACTCTTTGATAATAAAAAGCATGACACAATAAATTCCATTCAAAACAGATTTTAAGCAGATCAGGCATTTATTATTTCAAAAGAAAATATTTAATTTAATTTTTCTATGAATTCCCCTTGTGGGCAATAGCTGTACATATAAACTTCGGTCGGAAATTTAGTCCCAGTAAGGACCCATAAAGGAAAAAGGTTTAACAAAGAGTCCAGTGAGTCTCTCTTAGGAATTCTGTCTTGGTTTTTCCCCGTACTCAGAGTTTACACTAGGTGGCATGCAAGGAAAGCTGAACAAATTCTGAAGCTGGATCATTTGGAATCAGGGTTCTTTGGTACTAATCATGATAGTGGGTTCAGTTTTAGAGTTAGCTATTTTATTTGTGATGATTTTTCTTTTCTCCCTCCCCCAGGATGAAGTGTCCCCTTGCTGGTACAAATAAAAGATTTCTAATTAACACAATTAAGAACACATTGCCCTCCCATAAAGAGCAAGACCACGAACAAAAAGAGGGCAGTAAGGAACCCACAAAGAACCAGGCCCAGAAAGAAGAAAATCCGAAGCAGCACAGAAGCCATCCTTACAAGCAGAGCTACCGTTCCCGAGGCGCGGTCAACTACTCCCCGCCGAGGAAGCGGAGCTCCCAGGACAAGCGCGAAAAGCGACCCAGCCGGCGGTGAGGGTGGGATGGGGTGTGCAGACAGGGCTGTGGGCGACAGGCGTTGGCTGGCAGAGCACACACCTGACAGTGATTTTTACAGTCCATTCTTTGTTATTGTTTTTAAAGAGGCTGCTGGCAACAGGCAAAAAAAAAAAAAAAAAAAAAAAAAACCTGATAACTCAAGGAAACCAGTACAAAGGAAAATGTCTTGGCAAGTTTAAGCTACTTCAGCAGTTTAATATATGCACACGTATGGTTTTTATTCTATCTTGTTTGGAAGTGAGTTCCAAAATAAGCAAATCTAGAGTTTAAAGTTTTCAGAGATTATTAAAACTGTTTCCATTTTTTTTGTCCTTTCTCAAAATTTCTCAAAAAATAAAATACTTATAAACTTTATACAGTTTTGGGTGTCTGATTTAAAATTTATAAATCATCTGGCCAGTGGCTGTATTTACAATTTGAGGACTGGAATTTACCAAGAAATTAACTTTGATAGCTCTGCATTGGTTTTCCTTTAAGTGGACAGTGAAGGAAATCCTCAGTACGGCTCTGAATTTAGTGCTCTGTTTAATCACCAGTAGTTTCCTGTTGTTTCCTGTGCATTCCTTAGAACGATTTTTCTATATTTAATCTCTTTTGAGTATATAGGTTTTAAGTGGTGCTTTAAATAAAACCTTGACAAGTTAAAATTAACAATTATTTTAATGCTAGATCTTCTTTAGCTAAAAACTTATGATACCACACTGTGATTTATATAGTTGTTTCAGAAATCTTCATTATAAATAACAGCATGTTTACAATGCCTCCCCACCCCACTGTTAGTTTTCAGTATCTGTTTGAATATAAAATTACAAACTTTTCAAACCTGCATTCCTCCTTCATACTCAGGAAAATGTCACCAGCTCCCCCCTTCCTAGTCCACAAAAGGAAAAAGATTCTCTCTCCCTGACCCCACCCCCACCCCTAGTTTTCCAAAGTCCAAGTGTATGTCCAGCTGCCCCCCCCAAATAATCACTATGCCACAGCCCTGCTCCCTGCTTCCTGGGAGCCAAGAAAAGCCCTTTCTACATTTTAAAAAGAAATACACCCAAAATGTCTGCCTGGGGATGTTAGAAGCAGGAATAGACCTTTCCTTCCCCCTCCCAAGCTGCCATGACACTCCCTGAGTCTGCTCAGGAGTGACAAATTTCTCATTTGATCCACCCCTTCTCCCATCCCAGGCCCCGGGGACTCATCCTGTGACTTTGTAACCACACATTCCTTTCAAACACACAAGAGGAATCATTTGCTTTATCTGATTCTACTCAAATCTAGTTAAGCATAAACCTAGATTATCTGTGCTCAATTTGAGATGTTCCATATTTAAATATTTATTAGAGATATCACAGAGTTGTGAAGTTTTTTTAAATTCTTGTCAAATTCTTTTCTAAATTCTAAGTAAAAATAAAGCTGAACGGTACCATTTGTCTATATGCTTTGATGACAAACTGGCAAGTTCATCAGCCTTTAAAAGGGAACAATTATAATGAGCACTTTGTTAACACTCAAAAGTAAGGGAAGTTTTTTAACCTAACCTTACTTATCTTTCTTACATGAACCGTGTTAAAGGACATGTGGCCCACAAAACTAATTTCCCTTTAAAAATCACTGTTCTAGGCCTGGGATAGTGACTCTTGCCTATAATCCCAGAGCTTTGGGAGGCTGAGACAGGAGGATCACGTGAGGCCAGGAGTTTTGAGACCAACCTGAGCAACATAGACCCCCACCATCCCTACCAAAAAAAAAAAAAATGGCTCTCGGCGCCTGTGGC